ACAAAACACAACTCAACAGAATCAGGAAGATAGAAATAGTATCAACCATCTTTTCAGACCACGATGCACTGAGGATAGAAGTGAATCACACACAGACACGGAGAACCAAATCAAACACCTGGAAATTAAACAACTCATTGTTGAACAACGAGTGGGTCAGGGAGGAAGTCAAGGACGAAATCAAAAGATACCTGGAAACAAATGAGAATAAAGACACGAGCTACCAGGATGCTCCTTTATAGGCAATTTCCTTCTTTGATCTTGCTGCTTTCAGAATTTTATCTGTTGAAGGTTTTTGTCATTTTGATCAGGATGTGTCTTGGAGTCTTTTGATTTGGATTTCTTCTAGCTGGTACCGTTCAGGCCTCCTGAATGTGGCTGCATGTGTTCTTCACTTCTGGGACTGTTATAGCAATGATGTCTTTGATGGTTTCTTCTTCAACAGGGTTTTCTTCCTGTCCCTCTGGGACTCCAATAATTCTTATGTTATTCCTCTTGGTTTCATCCCGATCTTCTCTTGAAATGTGTTGGCGGATTGCGAGTCTCTTTGTTTTCTGGAGAGTCTCTGAACTTCATCTTTGAGCTCACTGATTCTGTCCTCAGCAGCTGTTACTCTGCTGCTGAGGTCCTCCACTGAGTTTTTCAATTTGCCTACAAGGTTTTTCAGATCTGACATTTCTGTTTGTAATTTTGTTTGCATTTTCCATATTTCTACTTTCAAATCCTCTTGTATTTTATTGGCGGTGCGTTCCATTGCTTCTCTTAGGTCCTTATGCATCCTCAGTAGCCCCCTTCTAGATTCCTTGTCTGAGAGGTTGTCTAGCACTTCATTACTGTTGGGGTCTTCTGGGCTAGTCTCTTTACTAACTAAGCTTGGTGAGCGTCTTCGTTGCTTTACCATTGTGGCCTGTGTGGTTTAGACCTTCATGCTCACTGTTAGTATTGTCTTTTTGGTGAAGTATTAACTGAGTTGGAGCTAATGATTTATTGGCCTACTGTGTTTCTGATGTTTAAAGCTGCCCTAGTGAAAGTTCCACCTAAGAGGATAACTTATGGTTCATATGGGATATGGAGGGGAGAATAACTCGCGGCCGAATTAGTGGCCGCATCATCCAGAAGGAGCCCTGGAATCTTGGCAGATACCTGGAGGGGAGGAAGAAAGACGTTCCCTGGAATATTAGTGCTATGGGTGCACGCAGTCCATCTCAGTTCCCGTTCCTCACAGTTCTAGGTTAAAAACCAGCTGGGCAAGGGTCTGCTCAGTCCTGTAGCTCCAGGAAGGAGCCCTGGATAACGGGCAACACCTGGATGGAAGGAGGAAAGACGTTTCCCGGAACATTGCTGCTATTGGTGCCTCCTTTGCTATGTTGTGGGGTTCATCAGAAGATTTCATAAAGGGTTGAGGAGTCAGTATTTTAGTATTTGTAATCCTTCTGGACTTAAACCTGGACTCATTTTCAATTGACTCTGTATAGCCCAGTTACTCATGTTGAACCCCACACTTTGTTCTTTCCCCAAGGGTGAAGCCACACCTCTCTGCTGGATACAGAGTGCTGAGTGTGAGATCCTGCATAATAATGAGTTCAGGTATTCAGTATCCTATTCTCTGACTGGAACCTCCCTGAAACCCCACACAATGAAAGGTGTTGAGATATGCTCCTGAGGAATCAAGAATTGAAAGAGTTCTGAACGGCACATAAACTCTGGAGGGGGGGAAGGACTCTCCCAATTTGACCTGTGAGGATATCTCCACCTGGTATTTCCTCAGGAGCCATAGCTGAGGTGTTCACTCTGAGCTTGCCCTATTCCTACTGCTAAATGGCTCACAAGTGAAGCCAGGACAGCTACTGAATACTTGGAAAGAGAAGAGGGAGAAGAAATAGTGTTTCTATACTGAGTGAGGTGAGGCAGGGAGAGAAGTGGCTTGAGCAGCAACTCTGAAGTGGTCTCTTTACCCTTTCATGCCTTTTGCCCCAAGTATTCCCCTACAAGACCATTCTAGCCAGGCTACATTGACATTACTTAAGTCCATCTCATGCTTTCAAAATTCCTGAAATTGTCTGCCTTAAACACGCTAGACCACATAGTTGATAGACATGGAGGTAGTTATGGCCAAGCCTAGAGTAGGAGCCCATCTTGTCTTTGAAATATTGGAACTGTGTGACTTGCACCATGTTATCCACGCCCATTCATACAATGAAAAAAAAATTCCTGTGTTAAACAGAGAATCACTGTGTATTCCTACCTGGTGCCTCCACAGAAGCAGCACCTAAATGCTGATGCTTTCCCTTCTTGTTTCCATTAGAATCTGTCACCTCAACCCATATCCCCTCATAGCTGTGTTCAAGCACCTGCCCTGGATAGCCTATCATAAACTCCTGCTTAGATATGATGACCACTGGGGCGGACCATCTCTTCTTTGCAATATTGGAACTGCATGACATGGACCACAATACCTGAACCCTCATACAACAAAAAAAATTTTTTTCTCTGCTAAAGAGAGAATCACTGTGTATTCCTACCATGTGATTCACCACATGGCAGCACCTACTTGCTAATCCTTTCCCTTCTTGTTTCAGTAGAATCTCTCTCCCTCATTCCATATCCCCTCATAGATGTGTTAGAGCACCTGCCCTGAATAGCCTATCACAAACTCCTGCTGACCACATATGATGGCCTCTGGGAGGGACCATTCATGGCAAGAACTCTAGAAGAGATTTTACATGAAAAAATACATAGACACGAGGCCTTGAGTTCCCTTCATCCTTGCTCTGGTATTCTATTTTTTTTAGTGAAGCAGAGAAACCATAAAAATATGAATCCACCCTGCCACCAAAAGTTATTTTATTTGCTGAAGCATTCTCTCTCACATATTGTCTTTTTCCCTTTCACTCTACATAAAATCCAATAAAATCCAATCCACCAGAAACTCCCAGGAGGCAGATGGTGTGGATCCTGTGCTATTGCAGATGAGGGAGGGAGGATGGATCAGAAACAAGAGGCAGTGCAGCCCTAGATCCCAGCAGGAGTCTAGAGTTGAAGGTTCTAGGACACAACCTCCTCCAGAAATAGAAGGATCTCTTGTTCAGTAGATAGGCCTGGTGGGGTGGGGAGAAATACTGGGGAGCTGTGTCCCATGAGACACCAGGAAGAGGTGGTGAGGGCTGATCCCAAGGTTCAGACCTGAAGATCCAGCCCCACCCACCTGAACACTCCTCTTCCACTGCCAATATTAGAGGGTGTAGGATGAACAAAATGATACTTTTTTGCCTGGATCACAATCACGATCACGACCATCCTGTTGTTCACCGATTGCCTCGAGCAGGCCCCAGTAACGTCTCCTTCATCCTAGCCCTGAGATTTTTTTTTTAAAGTGCCATATTCAAGGCTCTTTCAGGGTTAGGAGAATGATAACCATCATTGTTACTGGTATTTGGCATATTGGGTATACCACAGGGAGTTTGCCAGACTCTGCCGTGTGGGCAGGTTACATTCGGTAGCCTGCCAGTTTGTCCAAAGTAGGTATGAGATGATAAACTGTCACGCGGCTGCAAATGCGGCCGCACACTTCCAGAAGCTGAGTGTGATAATCTCTGGATCCTGGCCGTTGTTGGGGTTACACGGCAGTTGGTGGGTGTAACTATTTAGCCACTGGCAGGTCCAGTCCCAAACCGTGCAGGCTTGGAGATCTCAGCCCCAGGTTCCACACACCTGGGTTCCTCTGCCAGTTCTTTTATGCATGAGGCTCATCCAAGTGTGTGGAGAGTGGTCCCAGCATGGCCTTGGCTGGGGCCCAGAGGTCTTCAGCTGTTGGGCCCTGGTGGAGACAGTCAGGCACAGGGTAGGAGACTCTGCCTTATTCTCTCCTGGGAGCTGAGTGTGATAATCTCTGGATCCTGGCCGTTGTTGGGGTTACACGGCAGTTGGTGGGTGTAACTGTCTAGCTACTGTCAGGTCCAGTCTCAAACCGTGCAGGCTTGGAGATCTCAGCCCCAGGATGTGTAGTTTTATTCGTGGTGATTAGGTGGCACCATTAGTTTTTAATATAATCGCACCACTAAGACTCCATGCATACGCTATAGAGTTTAAGTGAGGGTTTGGAGGAATTTTTAAAACATAAGGAGGGCTTCAATGTAATATCACAGACATGCCTAAAATTTGGCTCAGATTTAAGTCCTGAGCTTTCTTCTTGCTGGCGGTGAGATCACTCATCCTGTGAAATAAGAGTACCTGCTTACCTATATGGAGCAGAAAACACACCTACATTGTTTCAGCATGTCCTCTCTCTCTCTCTCATTTTCACACACAAATACACCCCCTATCACACCCCCATACACACACACACACACACACACACATGCTTGTACCAGTCCCCATTTACCACATACATTCCATAGACTGGAAACAGCCCTCTGTGCCCTTGAACATGGGGGCATTTGTGTCCAGGGTGCTGCCCCACCTTCTGCACCAAAGTTCCTACAGGTTCCATCTAAAGCATAATATTCTGTCAAGATTATTCCTAAACACACAGAGAGGCAGAGGTGACTTCATGAATTCTGGTGACTAGAAATAGAATATTGAGGTGCCGGCAGGGTTGGATTCTGGGGAGACCTCTTTTCTTAGTGAGCTGGCTACCACCTTTCCACTCTGTCATCCAATGGCCTGTTCTCTGTGGAGAGAGTGTGTGAGATAGTCAGAGTCCCCTTCATTCCTTAGAAGAGCTCCAGTGTTAAAGATCTATGATCTGAATCTTATGACTCATTTAACACTTCTTAACACTCTAACTCACCTTCAAATATGGGGGCCAAGGCCTAACAGGTAAAAGGGGGCGACACAACTAATTCCATGAACCAGGTGATACCATCCACAGTGTCTCAGGAGAGAAGCAGTGATTGTGCTTCTCTCAGTGCTCTGAGAGAAACATGTGGAAGCATCATGGACTCAATACCAGGGAAGCTGCTCCCCAGTGCTCTCACCTCTTTCCTTCTTCTTTCATCTAGAGAGCATTACTGAGGAGACCATCTACTCTCTCCTGAATGGAGTGAGTAAGAAGGAACTTCATCTTCTGTTGAGTAGAGATGAAGAGTGGGAGCAATTTGTGGCCGAAGCTGAGTTAACCAGGTAATTAAGAGGAAGTAAGGGCTCAATAGGATATCACTCCTTCTATCACTCTGGGCTACTTTCTTTCTTACTAGTCTGCCTCCATGGGAAGGGGTGTGCTCACTCCCAATATCTGATGGCTATGTCGTCCAAATGGCAGTGACAATCTGAGTTGAGAGGAATGCGTGGAAAGGGGTTATGTAAGCATGCACAAGGGATTTGCTTCAGTGTCATATCTCGGTTCACTCTCCTTAAAGAAAATAAGGGAATACGTATAGTACTTAGCATAGTACTGACACACAATGATACTCAACTAATCACCATCTGGAAGCCATACCGGGAAGAAACAGAGCTGAGAGTCCTTTTCATAGAGATGAAAGTAAACACTTCCTTTAGGGAGAAGGAAGAACATTTTGGCAAACCTGGGCACTCTGTGTAGGTTCTTTCTCTCCAATTAAGGGGATAATTCAATTGCTACATGGACCTTCCTTTCAGTTCATGGGACAAAGGTCATAAGATGTTTGTACATAGTGGGCTAGATCCTGACTCTATCTGCACCCAGCATGAGGGCTCTAAATCTGTGCTCGGCATTCCCAGATTCCTTACATGTCCAGTGATAGTAGCAATAATTCTACCTTGATTAGAATTAAACTGTGGGATTGAGTGGATAACAACCACTATCATCCTCCCCAGAATTCTTCCCTTCCCAACTGTCATCTTGATGTTCCTAAGACGACGTTTTTTTATCCTCAGGAAATGTCATTGTCCTGCATTCAATGTCACCTCACATTCAAATATTTATAACCATATCTAACCCTATGGGAGAGAAACCGATTCCGACTCTTGTTAGGAACATCAAGATGACAGTATGTCATCTGGATGCCCTTAGTCTGGGATAAATGACAGGGTTTGGAGGATCAATTCCTCTTCAGCTATCTGGATATGACATTTTACATAGCCATTCAGGACACTCTTCTATTCTACATAGGATGCTCCTGACCTATGGCTGGGGTCAGTGTTGTAACTGACCACTAATAATTTCACAGTCACTTGCAAAGTAGTTGCTTGTGTGTGTGTGTGTGTGTGTGTGTGTGTGTGTGTGATTGAAAGGTGCTGATGAGACTCCCAAGTCCAATTAAAGAGGAAAGTTTCTCTAGAAACAAGCAAATTGCAGCTTTATCTAGCATTATCTTTTCATAACAAGAGATGACTCTCAACTTCGTCTCTGAGATATTTTTGAGGTTCCATAACGTTGCACGTGACCTGGTAGTCACATACTAGCAGCTCTTGCTGCAAAGGTACAGATTAGACTGGTGACATCTGAGAGGCCAGTGAGAAAGAGGTCACTGAGGGTCACTATGTAGCCTAGGGGAACCAAGATTAGAAGCAGATGCCTGCTTGCGAGACAACTGAATCAGTAACTATATTTTTGTCTAAAATCTTGAAGTATCGTGTTTATATTATCAGGCTTGTATATGTAAGGGGTAAATACAGTTAAAGTTTCCTCCTGTTGTTAATGAGATTTTTCTCAATTCAAGAATTAGCAACACCTGGGCTGGAGCAATAGCACAGAGGGTAGGGCTTTTGCCTCACATACAGTCAACCCGGGTTCGATTCCCAGCATCCCATATGGTCGTCTGAGCACTGCCATGGGGTAATTCCTGAGTGCAGAGCCAGGAGTAACCCCTGTGCATCACCAGGTGTGACCCAAAAAAGAAAAAAAATTAGCTACACTGCCCAATGTGAAGCCATATCCACTAAACAACTTTATGTTTGACGCCACCAACAAATTTGGGGTAGGGTCTTCCAAAACTCAATCAAGATGGAAAATTCACTAGGTTGTCTCACAGAGTTAACAAGACTGATGGGATTACAGTTGCAGCTTATTAGAGAGAGATGATGGCAGTTAATAGACGCGAGGGGAAATGCAAAGTCTGGGAAGGTCTCAAACTTGATGTTGTTTATCCTCAGGAAATGTCATTGTCCTGCATTCAATGTCACCTCACATTCAAATATTGATAATCATATCTAACCCTATGGGAGAGAAACCAATTCCGACTCTTGTTAGGAACATCAAGATGACAATATTCATGAGCACTTTTGTAGATATTTGAATCCCTGCTAGAAAGGATATGGGGGGAAATACATCAAATACACGTAAGCTGGAGCGATAGCATAGCGGATAGGGAGTTTGCCTTGCACGTGGTCGACCCAGATTCAATTTCTCCATCCCTCTTGTAGCCCGGCAAGCTACCAAGAGTATCCCACCCGCATGGCAGAGCCTAGCAAGCTCCCTGTGGCATATTCGATATGCCAAAAACAGTAACAACAAGTCTCACAATGGATACGTTACTGGTGCCCACTTGAGCAAATCGATGAACAGTGGGACAACAGGGATACAGTACTAAACAGGTGGGAATGCACAGAGAAGGAGAGTGATGTGGGTGTGCAGAATTCCCAAAGAGACACCAAGAATGGGGGAATTATTGAAAAACTGATCTAAGAGAACTTTGGTTAAAGACAAGCCAAGAACGAATACGTAAAAAATGAGGGTAGTTTAATATCATATCTCATCTTGGAACAAGTAGGGGGGATTCTGTTGTTAATCCAACTCACTAGGTTCTTTTTAGGCAGGGTTTTACTTATTGGCAAGGAGGACCTGGAAAGCCAGGGTCAAGTTTCAGTCCAGAAGAGAGCTTCACATAGCCTGACTAAGCCTTGCTCAAGAACATAATCATTTTTTACCCAGTCACTGCGTAAAATTAAATTCAGGTCACACACATACTGCCCACATTTTGACCTGTAGCTTTCAGACACTTCCCCAGGTCAGGGCTGATACGACATGGCCCAGGCCCCATCATAATATCACATTGTTAGACCATCTACTGGCCCGATATCCATATAACTGAGGATCCTTCTATCAAATAGGACAGTCAAGGTGCCAGGAAATCATTTCCCAGAGGCTATGGCAAAGTTCAGACATGACTGAGCAACTTTACTCTCATTCCACACTAAATGCTCTGAACCGAGGTGCTCCCACCTCCAACCCCCTTCTTATTTTAGAGGGTTGCTACAAACACCTGCTGTGCTGAAGGTGTTAACTTGTCCTTGAGGGCATTGATTGTTTAATAGAGACCTATGATTTAAGAGCATCTTAAGTGATGTTCGCGTATTTATACCCTGAAGAATAAGTACTGGGAATCATCTACAATGTATAACACATATTTAATTTTAAGGAAAAAAATTATTTCTCCTTTCATTTGAGTGATAGTGAAAACGCTGAGGATTATCCAGGATACACATTGTCCAGCCCACTTGTGGATCATCTAATTGTCTAATAAACTACCCTCATTTTTTACATATTTGTTCAATATCTGTCTTCTTTGTTATAGAGATGAGGCAAAGGAAGTTCATGAAGGTCTAAAGAAACATGGAAAGCTCTCGGTCATGGAAGTCAAAGAGATGCACCAACAAGAGAAGGAGTTTAAGAAGAAGTTTTTGAAGTTATATCCTCAGGTGAAAAGAGATGCTGAGGAGCACATAAAACATCTCTATGCCCTTGCAGAAGAGGCTGACAAGGTCCACAAGAACTGTACCATTGCTAATGTGGTGGCAGACTCCACTGGCATTGTATCCGGCATCTTGTGTATTGCAGGCATAGGTCTTGTCCCATTTACAGGAGGGCTCAGTTTAGCATTGTCGGGAACTGGTTTGGTGATAGGGTCAGTGGCTACTGTCACAGCTATGACCACCAGCATTGTGGAGCACCGTTACATGTCATCCATAGAAGCTGAGGTCAAGAAATTGGAATCAACTGGAGACAATTTACATCTCCTCTGGGAAATTTTAGGTGATAGCAAAGAAAGAATCTCTTCTTTAGTAAATAGCTTTAGGGTTCTGAGAAACATAGCAAAGCATGTTCGTGCCACTAGGTTGGCCAGACACAACCCCAGAGCAGCAGCCCAGAATCCTGGTCTGCTCGGCATAATGTTTGAAGGCGCCGCTGGGATAATGAGCAAGGGAGCCCGTATCATTGGTGGGGTCGCCACAGGTTTAGCAATTCTGGTGGATGTATACAGTCTAGTGCAAGACTCAAAGGATTTACATGAGGGAGGGAAATCACAATCTGGTGAGATGCTGAGGCAGCGGGCTCAGGATCTGGAAAATACGTTGGTGGGACTCCAACAGTTCTATGAGAAGCTGCAGTAGGGTCGGATTCCCTCAGAGGAGTGCAGGGAGCGGGTGGTGGGTGGAAGTAAAGGATGGGATACAATCCTACCTTTGGCCTCAGGAAGACTTATTTCAGTTAGTCTGTAATTCTTAACAAAAATGATGGTGGCAGTGCTAGTGGTGGTGATGAGATGACAGCTGAATGGTAGAATTTTTGTCAAATCACTATTGTTTGGGGATGTCCAGAAAGTGCAAAAAATTACAGCAAAATTCTTTTGTGGGAACAGTATTTTTTCTGAGAAAAGAGGAAGAAGAAACCAGAAGACAACACAAGTTGACTTCTCCCAGAAGGGAGCATAACATGAGGCCTCCATAGCCATTCCACCAGACTCCATACCAGGCTGTTTCACTTGGGGCGCCCCAGAGGGTGGTGGGTGAGAGCCCTCCCTGAGCCAAGGGACCCAGCCCTGGCAGCCTAACACCTCCACAACCCAACCACGCTCAAGGCAGCTCCACACATGCTCAGGCCGAGCCTCATGCATGAGTGAAGTCCCATGGAACCCAGGTAATGCAAAACTTTGTGACCTTGGACTCTAGAATCAACAGGACCTAGGAGCGAAGATCCCCTGCTCGTTTCCCCCAGTCTCCGGCGACCCAGGGGTCACATCCATAAGCCACCTCCTGCCAGTGCCAGATAATCTTGTCATCGGCCACCATCCAGATCACACGGCTACTTCTCCCAGAAGGGAGCATAACATGAGGTCCCCATAGACATGCCACCGGATTCTGTGCCAGGCTGATTCACTCAGGGTGCCCCATGGGGGGCAGGTGAGAGCCCTCCCTGCCCCCAAGAGACCTAACCCTGGCAGCCGAACACCTCCACAACCCAACACCACCATGTTCAAGGCCGCTCCTCACACACTCCTGCTGAGCCTCACATATGAGTGAACATATTCCTGGATACACCATAAGACAGTCCCTACCCATTCTCCATAATTTCCACACCGTATTTTATGGGATTCAGACAGTAGGCAACAAATCATAGAGGAAAATATATATGCATATATACATATTTTCAGAGATATATATATATATCAAATCTCACATTACCCAAATTTTAACAACGTGTTAGTGATATCCTAAAGAATGTCTTAATGGCTCTACCAAAAAAGAACAATCTTCACACTGTATCCTATATGAACACTTTTTTGTAAGCATGTTCAGTAGTTCTTCATACAGATAATACAAAATATATTATTTTGGTTGTGTTTTGGGACAGGATTCCTCCTGTTCGATTCCTCCGCCCCTCTCGGAGAGCCCGGCAAGCTACCGAGAGTATTCGATATGCCAGACACAGTAACAACAGTCTCCAATGGAGACGTTACTGGGCCCGCTCGAGCAAATCGACGATCAACTTCAGGGGTTGAAGCGATAGCACAGCGGGTAGGGCGTTTGCCTTACAAGCGGCCAACATGGCCGACCCGAGTTCGATTCCTCCGCCCCTCTCGGAGAGCCTGGCAAGCTACCGAGAGTATTCAATATGCCAGACACAGTAACAACAAAGTCTCCAATGGAGACGTTACTGGGCCCGCTCGAGCAAATCGACGATCAACGGGAGAGCCTTTACCTTTACCTTTACCTTTGGGACAGGAATTGGGCTTTGGATGGAAACATCCCGAATTTGGTGGTTGGAAGGTATAATGGTGGTGAGCTTTGTGTTTTAATATTAAATGTAATCAAAAATTGTGAGCTCATTTATAAAATAAAATATTTTTTTAAAAAAGCACAAGTCAAGAATTTTTCCATTTCACCTCTTGGTTTGCCATAAAGATATGCCGAGGTCAAGGCAGTTGTTCCACAGAAGAACATCTGCTTTGCATGTGTGAGGCCATGAGTTCAATTCCTGGCCCTGCCAAAGAAACTCTGAAATTAAACATGAAGAGATAAAACATCTCAGAGGCACAACCTGCTAAATATCAAAATATTTCAGTTCTGTCTTGTTCCTGGCCCTTACATGCTGCTGCTAGTTCCATAAACATGGGGATTGTTAAAGACTTTCTGGACTTGACTAATGGACTCACCTGCACGCTAACTGACGGGACATACACTCAACTGACTGAACGAGATCCTCATTTGTGACACTGTGAGAGGATCAGCCTGAATTGAAGTGACAGAAAAGGGGCAGCCAACAACATCCTTTCCCAAGCTACCACAGTGTTTTTCTTAGACTCACAAGACCCTCAGGCATGCTTTTCTATCTTTATGCTTGAGATACTGCCCCATCCCTCTCCTCATCCCAAATTAGACCAGTAGATCCTTAAGATATGGGTCCTGTCAAAGTCAAAAATAAAAGGCATTGTAAGAAACTCTGGGTCACGCACAAAGTCTGTACTCCCTAATATGAACTTTTATCTACATTGGAAGAAGAATTTTCTCAGTCCCCACACTGTAGGCAGTGTTTTGCAGTGGCTTTCAAATGGGTCTTCCATCTCTTCCTAGAGGGGTCGGCAGATGGGCCTGAGAGGTAGTAGAGCAGGTAAGGTACTTGCCTTCTATGTGACTGACCCCAGTTTAACTGTGAATACCCTTGAAGACTTGCAAGGAGCAATTCTTGAGCACAAAGCCAGGAATATACTGTGAGTATCACTGGGTGTGGCCAGAGGTCAAAAGAGTTCAAAAACGTGCTAGGAACTTGACTCAGTGCTAAAATGCAAATCTTGCAAGTTTGAAACCTTGGTTCCATCCCAACATACACAAGAGAAGTCAGCAAAGGCAAGGTCAACAGACACAAGAGAAGTCAGTAAAGGGGAGGTCTGTCACTTGCCTGATGCCCAAACTTTGTGTTTCACCTCCTACTCAATTCTCCAACATTTGAGATCATTCTCTTTTTTTCTTTCAATATCACCTGTGTGCTTAGTGTTTTAGGGAATTTCATGTGGCAACTCAGCAATCCCTCATCCCTGAGTTCCGTTGTGTTTAACAGCTTTAGATGCAATTTTATTGAACAGTTATACCAGCTAAGATTCATTTGGTTACAGCCACAAACATAGACTCAGACTAACATGAGGAAAAACAGCGGTTCTATTGAAAAAAGGAATTAGGTAGTTCAGAAAAAGGAAAGGATCCAATATCCACAGAGGTCATGAGGGACAACGACCAGGGCAGTTGCATTTGAGGATATATGCTCTCCCTTGAGGATCTTACACAAAAGGCTTAAGTTCAATCACGTGGAATTTTGGTGTCTCTGTTTAACATGAGAAAATCTCAAATGGCTGAAGAACGTGGACCTGGTATTCAAAGTAAGTTCAGTATAAAGGATGAGGGAAAAGAATTAGAAATAGGGATACTCCTTAGCTCCAGAATCTTCCTGATTTTTTGCATATTCTAGACATTCTGTTCCTTCGCTACTTTTCACATAATATTCACTCTTATCGGAAAGGAAGCAATGACTCACCTCCATCTGATATGGATTTAATAACCTTATATATACCAGCAGAGCTATCAAGGCTTCCTCGGTGGAACCAAATACAAAGAACCTGAACCTACAAATCCCAATAAGCTGAAGTTATGTCATGGGTGGAGCACCATAGCCTGAGATCAATGTTTCCTTTCTCCAGGGGATTCCTCTCTCAATCCACTGCAGATAAGTCCCATCTGAATTCAATGTTTCATTGGACTCTCACTAGCACAGCTGGTTCTTTCACTCAATGTTTCTCTTCCAAATGGGCACGTTCAGGCTTTGTCCACCCTGGAGAATCCCAGTTCACTCTTGACTAAGAGTTTCTCTCTTTCTCTTCATTTTTCTCTAAATTTCTTTCAATGCAGCACTGTAGCACTGTCCTCCGGTTGTTCATCAATTTGCTCGAGCGGGCACCCGTATCGTGTCCATTGTGAGACCTGTTGTTACTGTTTTTGGCATATCAAATACATCACAGGGGACTTTCCAGGCTCTGCCTTTCAGGCGGGATAATCTCGCTAGCTTGTGGGGCTCTCTGAGAGGGACGGAGGAATCGAACCCAGGTCGACCACATGCAAGGCAAACGCCCTTACCTGCTGTGCTCCAGCACAAATTTCTTTCAATAAAATGTTTTTTAATTCTCTTTAAAAATAACTAAAGGGAACTGAAATGACCCTGCCCTACCCTACAGAGAAGACGTTATGCATGGCAGAGGGACAGTTCTCACCTTATCATCCCTCCATTCTTTTTTGCCTTGCTTTTGCCTTGAACACCTTGGAGCTGCCGTTATTCCAACATCTTATCCAAACGTGGTCACCAGTCTCCATCTAACGTGATGTGCCATTGATCACATTAGAATCGTTTTTTACTAAGAATCCAAGATTAGTGTTTTTGTTTGTTCATACTGTCATACTCATCCAAGGAGGGGTCTTCAAAAGGAAAGTAGAATGTCAGCCGCTGCCCACCAGGTTGAGGTACAATGTCAGGAGTGTTGGGGAGGGGTGCGGACAGCACCCTCTTATGGGATTTCCCTCCCTCCCCTCTGAGTTGCTTTTATTTAGAGCCTGGGTCCTCAGTTCCCTTTTGGGTCTTCTCTGCTTTCTTTCTTCTCTGCCTCCTTTCATCAAGGGGAGATCTATTCCCACAGAGTGAACTGAGCGTCCCTGTCCTCAGCACCCCCAAAGCCCTGGTTCTCCCCATCTGCATCTCAGAGCAGGAGGTGAAGCTGCCTGAAATCCCAGTGAACCCGGATGGGGGAACTGGTTTGGGAGAGGTTCTTGGTCAGGCAGCCGCTGGCTTCTGTGTCCTGCTCCCTTGGACTCCAGACAGCCGGACAAGCCCAACAGATTCCTGTCTGTCCTCATCATCTTCACATGCAATCGGATTTGCCAAGTATTTAGGGTGAGGTTCCCGGGGACTGAGGAAGGGTCAACCTGTAGCCCTCTGAGTCATCCTGTTGCCACCCACTGTTATAGCTGATGCAGCTTGTCCATACTACTCCACCTGGAAATTCCTTTCAGCAGGTGAATTTGCCTCGACCAGGTCCCAGCATTCAACAGAGGCAACTCCAGTCGTACAAAGG